CGAGAAACAAAGATATATCAGTTGGTGTGCGGAATTTCGTAAAAAGTCATTGGAAAGAGGGGAAATCACTTGTCTGTATAGGAAAAATTTTGAAAAATTGAACAAGTCTACCGTTTTTAACATCATTGACATGTTCAAGAAAACAAAAAGTATTGAAAACAAGCAAAAATCAGGGCGTCCAAGGATATTTAATTGACATGAAGTAGATTGTGAGATAAGTACACATTAATCCAAGAACTAGTACAGTAAAAATGACTTTGCAATGTAAAAGTAGGTTTGAAAAATCTGTAAATCCTGTTACTGTTAGAAATGTTTTAAAAAAACATAAGTATCATCGAAGAGTACCTCAAAGAAAGCCCTACATAAGCAAAGAAAATAGACAAGTTAGGTTGGCATTTGCTAAAATGTATGTAAGGCAACCAACAAAATTTTGGGAAAATGTTATTTTTGTTGATGATAGCAAATATAACATTTTCGGAGCGGATGGGCAAGCAAAAAGTTTGGCGGAAATCAAATACAGCAATGCATGTCAAAAATTTACGGCCTACTATCAAATATGGAGGGAGTAACCAAATTGTCTGGGGCTGCATGGCAAGCTCTGGTGTCAAGAACTTACATTTTATTGATGGTATAATGAATAAATATGTGTCTATCTTGACATTCTCAAGTGAAATGTAAGGCAAAGTGCTAGCAAGCTGGGAATCTCAGGACATTTTAAATTGTACCAAGATAATGATCCGAAACATACTGCAGAAATTTGCAAGTTATGGGTCCTCTACCACTGTTCTAGTGTTATTAAAACTCCTGAACAAAGTTCAGAACTTAATCTCATAGAACATGTGTGGGATTATTTGCAATATGAGCACCAAATTTCTAACAAGCAGAATTTAAGAAAATATATTTGGTCGAAGAGTAAACCAAAATCGATAGATCGTTTTGCAAAAAATTGATCAAATCCATGCCAAATAGACCTCGAGAGGTCATATCAAGCAAGTGGGACCCAACAAGATATTAATTTCTAAGTTTGAATTGTTTTTTCTTAATTTATTGGGAAGTGTCCCAATACTTTCTTTTGAGCACGTTTTTTAACTCGATTTCTTTTATTATCAATTTTAACCATAATTGCATTAATATATGAGTTTTATTCAAATTATTATTATTTGTATTTATGAAAATAACATTTACTTCTTTTTTTTATTTCATTTGTATGTTTAAGTAAAATATTACGATAAAAATCTATGAACTGGTAGTGTGTCCCAATACTTTTTTGAGTGACTGAACGTGAAAAATATATTGTTAACCGATCAATTCGTAAACCTGAGGAATTAAAAGGTCGAATTACAGCGATCGCTCAGATTTTTAATCCTGCAATGCAGTGTAGATTTAAACTCATTTCGGGCCCTGGGTGCAGAAGATCTATTAGTCCCCTTGGCAGTGGAGGATCGAAATTTATACTCAGGAAATTTGGTTAGGTCCAGTTTATATCTGGCCTCTGGGTGCCCACCCCCCAGCGCCCAATGGATAAGCCAGCACTGCTGCAATGCTTCATAGAATGTTGCTGAAAACACGTATAGACTCAAAGTGTTGCGCGCAACTAAAGGTGCGGACTAGGGTTTCTGATTTCTCGGGTTTTTCCATTCCCGGGAATGTCCGGGAAATTCAGGGAATACAATACATCAAAATTTCAAAAAATTTAAAAACAAGTTATTTTTAAATAAAATCAATAATAATTATATAAAATAAGGATACATATAAATTTCAAAATTAATACTTATTTAAATAATGAGCTAAAAATACAAAAAATATAGTAAATTGATTATTTATTTTTAAAATAGGATTTCAGAAAACATAAACAATTTGTACTTTTATCACTCAGCTTAGTTCTGAGCTTTGTGATGAACAATCCGGCAGCAGAAAATTCTCTCTCGGCTTCAACTGACGCTGAAAGAATTGTTTTTAAGCCCTCACATAGTTTTATAATGTTTGGTGATGGGTTTTTAGTCGAGTCAAACAATTGTATCTCTTGTTTCATGATTTTGCAGAAAGTAGTATTTTTTTCGGGTGAACAATATAAAACTTTTATTTTAGAGTAAAATGCTTTCTCTAATTTTTCGACCAACGCGCGTCAGAGGTTTTTCTTTCAAAATCTCCGTGCTCTTTTCTTCTGAGTGCGAAGAGTTGGATTTTGATCCCTCTCCTTCGCAAAAAAACTTTGTCCCTATCATTTGAGCTTGTCTAACCAAACAATTTTTACCTGGCAAAATATTGATAGTAACTGCAGCTGCTTTGTACTTTCTCCCAAAATTCAGGTATTGCATTAATTCTATTAAATTAACGTTGTGTCTCTCATTAATTCTTTGGATTAGAGAATAATTCATATTTTCACAAATTCTGAATTTTGTTCGTTCAATTCTCCAATAACGAAAGAAAATGCACCTTCTGCAGTTAGCAAAGTTACATTTTGACTCCATAATTTTTCTAAGTCAATTTTTCCTGGCTTCAAGCCTGCTACAATTGTAGTCACAGTTTCAAACTCTACATTGGCCATCATTTGTTCTTCTTTAATGTCCACTAATGCTTTTAAAATTTCAGACTTTATTTCTAAAAATCGTTCAAGCATTGCCAACAAACTAATCCAGCGTGTTTTGATATCCAAACAAACCATTTTCTCACAGCCAAACTCTTCTTTAAGGCTGTTTTCGGTAAAAGTACGAGAGTTCTAACTAAACGCGAAGCACATTTACTGACAGAAAAAAATGACCCAATTTCCATGGAAATTTGCAATATTATAACTCGTACCTCTGTTAACAATAGAGTGTTTTTAAAAATTTCAAAATATTCCGGGAATACTTCCTTTTTTGTTTTAATACTTGAAGGCAAAGCCCATTTAACATTACGGTATAGGATAAAAATTACGAAACACATTTTATACCAGAAAAAAATGAATCAACTCGGTTAAAAATAGGAAGTATGATAAAAAATGCTGCTCTCTAAAGGATAGTGAAGCCAGAATATCATATTAATTTTTCATTTCTTTTCTATCAGAAAAAATGTTCCAAATTCGAGTCCTGTTCTTTAACCGAAAACAGCCCCATAACATATTTTTGTAAAATATCATTCTTAAGAGGTGATATTCTGAATAATTTTAATACAATTCTAAGCCCCATGTGATTCCGGGAATGCAGTATAATTCCCGGGAATATAAAAATACAGAAATCTTTCGATATCCCGGGAAGGAAAACCTGGTTGATTGATTGATTGAATATTAACATCGCACTGTTCAGCTACACGAGGGCTTTTGGCGACGGACCACGTAATTTTGAAGCATGGTTAAGTGACGTGGACGCCACCTGAGCTGGCACCCCACTCCCTCTCCTAACTACCACACCGCACCAACGGGAGGATGTTTCAGCTCTCGACAGATTTAACGTGCATCGCTGCTCTACACGGCGGATCTTTAGTGGTACTGGGTTCGAACTTGTGACAAGGCAAGCCACGGTCCGATACCTATACCACTCGGTTACCGCGGCCACAGGAAAGAAAACCTAGTGTGGACATTGAAATCCTGTAGTAAAGTATTGCAAAAAAAGATTTGATATTTTCTTTATGGTACAAGAAAAACGTATTTTAATATCTATTCGTTTTTTTGTAATTAATATTTCAAAGTGTAGACATATTTTTTGGACAGCAGGTATAAATTTTACATTATAATGGACCATTATAGTACCCTGATCATTTTTTGTATGTTATCTCTAATTTGCCATCTTAAAATTAATCTAAACTAAAAACATCCTAAAATTCTGCTATAAACTTCTAAGTAAAGGATCGCGAATGAGTGTTTATTTACGGCACACTCTAAGACAACCCGAGGATTGTAGATGAAATACTTCGTACTTTTCAACGGATGTCAAGTAACGAAGACGACACTTCAGCCGGAACCACACTCTCCTAAATTCTATCAAACGCCCGCCAACGAGAAGGTTTTGAGTCAAGATACATTTTACGTATATCAGGTATCTACATAGCGAGTTTTCTGGTGCACAAGACTCACCGGCAACAAGTACATGAACATGACTAATCGGCAACAACGACTGCTAAATTTTTGAGCAAAAGGGGATTAAAAAAAAAGGAATTATATAGTATTATATAAGGGTCTAAAAATTCCACGATAACAAATTTTTACACATTTTTCGATAAATAAAAAATTAATTTCATAATTATAAAACTATCAAAAATGAAATGATAAAGTATGACTTTTAAACAAATGAATTTATCATAATGAAAAGTGTGATTTTTAAAATAAAGTTGCGCGAAAAAAGACTGAATTATTGGCTACCAATACTTTAATACGTCTAAAGACTTTTTGTCACATACTGCAGCTCACCAAGATAGAGAAGTGGTCAAGATAACAATCTCAACCTTGGCACTGTCTCAGAAAAATAGCGGTGAGAGAAACGTGGTCCGGGGGTCAAAGACGCTGGTTTTAGGCACCAGTCTCATTGTAGGCGAGGGTTCGAATCACAACGCTGCCAGGTTTTTAACACGCGATTACTTTTGTCCCTTTTAAATGTCAATTGATCCGATAGCACATTTCATAATCAATGAGAGTAGGGAAAGGTAGCGTGGCCGAGTTGTCTAAGGCGCTGGTTTTAGGCACCAGTCTCATAGTAGGCGTGGGTT